GTGCTCTTTGTGAGCATCTGCAGCGGCGACTTTAAGCCTGGGTTCCCCTTGCTTGGACTCCGGTTCAAGATATACGCGGCGTACTCCGCGGCGTCCCCCCAGAAGCTCAAAGGTAATTCGCACGCAAACACCATGCTACGCACCATGTTCATTACGGTACGGTGCATGCGCTCCGCCTTGCCGTTGCTGGCCCGGTTGCGGGGCTCGCTAACTTGTCTAGCAATGCCGGTGTCCTTGCAGAATAAGTCCAAAGTCTTGTACTCTTCTCCGCCGTCGGTGCGCAGCACGTGAATGCGACAGTTGAGCTGCCTCTCGAAGAAGACCATGAAGTGCTTAAACTTTTGCGCCGCTACGTCCTTGTTCTTGGCTAGGAAAATCCTGACCAGCCGTCAACGATCGACTGGATGCTTGCAAAGAGGATCGCGCGCTATCTGAAAGACACGAAGCATCTCAAGTTGGGGATGCACGTCGACGTGACCGAAGACCAGAGGATCAGGATCGAGCGCTGGAGCGACTTGGACTTCGCTGCGGACAAAAGCGACAGAAAGTCAGTAACTGGAGGAGTCATCACCATGGACGGCGCGATAGTACAGTGAATCTGCAAGAAGTAGACGGGTGTCTCGCTCTCCACCATGGAGGCCGAGTTTATCTCAGCATCACACGTTGGACGAGAGCTGCTTGCATTGCGGGAACTTGTGTGTGAGCTGGAATTCGAGGCGGTGCGGCACATGGCGATGTACATGGCCAACCAGGCAGCCATCGGGCAGCTGGAATCCAAGGACAGCACAGCGAGCGCCAAACACGTAGACATCCGCATCAAATTTGTGTGCGACTTCGCGAGAACGGGGATCGTGAAACCCGAGTACGTTGAGTCGCGTCTTATGATGGCGGACCTCTTAACTAAGGCGCTTCCGGTGCCGAGGATGGCCGAGCTACGGGAGATCTTCAACTTGAAGAAAGCGTAGCGAGCGACGGCCGAGGAGGAGTGTTAGAATTGTGCATGAGGTTACACTGGTGTAACCGCGGTCCTGTAACTGGAGTCGGCCGCCACTCTTGCGGATGGTGAGAACACTGTTGAAAGCGCGAGAGCGCAGGTAAGAAGGTTAGATAAAAAGCCTCACTTCTCAATATACGGTGTCCTTCCACAGATCAAACTAACAGCATGCTCAACTTTCATTTGATGCCACCCTCCATTGCGTCTAAGCACCAGCGGACAAATCGACACGGATATTAAGCCTTAAATGAACGAATTATTCCTAAGTAGAAAAAATATGAGTGTCAGTCCTTGGTACTACAGCAACTAGCTCACCGTACTGTAATTACACAGATTTATATAACTCAACCTGATCCAAAGGCTGGACAGGCGACGTTAGTTTAAGAGGAAGAAAGAGTATCTCGATGTTTGAAAATGACCAGGTCATCTTGTGACTCGAGGCATTGGCAATCAGCAGCAGACCCTTGCGATTTTGAAAAGCCATTTTTAAGTTGAAACTTTGTACCCACTCGGAAAATATTCGGACTGTCATCCATGCTATTGTGCTATTGTAGTATTGAACAGTCTTGCCGTTTAGCGCACGAGCACTCCCGCCATTAAAGCAACGTGGTTTTTTTTGCTGTGCCAATCACGACCGGGTCTAACTTGTGCGTACCCGGTACATTACAACATAATGCTATTGTGATACGAGCTTTATCGCGTTTCTTTATTTTCTGCCAATGTCTGGTTGGGAGCTAGGCGATAGAACAGCGCATTCTCATCGAAGTTCCAGATGTCGTCTGATTTGTAGTTGCAAGTCACTTCCTGCAGTGTGTAGCGCGCCGAGCGCACTTCTAGCCCGCTAGAGCTGTCCGCCTTCATGTGCAAACGCTTCAAAGAGATACCATTGCGGGTTCTGAACTTCTGTAGCCACCCGCTACTTTGTCGTAGCTGATCATTGCCGATACCAAGACTGGCTTTAAAAAGCAGCTTCAAGCAGTAATATGTTGTCTGAGATGATTTTGTCCTTCTCACTGTGGTGAAAACAATCGACGATCTGACGCTCTAACTCAGAGAGCTTCACGAGGCGGCGCCGCGTAGCAATCGCATTTGCGCTGTAGAAGTGCGCTGGTTGTTTGTTACGGATGCGTCGTAGGTGCTGTCACTCACCGACGTTTTGACAGTTGAACGGATCCACTAGAGCAGCTCGACATTCTTCAACTGTGGATTGCGCTGGGACCTTAAGCATACTTGTAGTTTCCCGTCTAGAGTCAGCGAAGCTGAGTGTGGCGGTGTCATGGTGTGAGCGAGGGTTATAAAAAGACGATTGACGGGATTCAGTTGGAATTTAAAAAGTTGGGAAGATTCTACGGCTGGCGGATGGTCACCTGCCCAGATAGAGAGTTTTACCTGCGGTCGTGACTGTCATTTAGCGAATCGAGAGCGCTTTAGTCAATTAGACGGGCTGGTTTAATGAAACTCATATAGTCTCGTTTGCGTTGAGATACTACATTCAAGTAAAGAGCACGTGGTCAGTTATAGAGGTTCAAATAAGGAGGTCTGACCGTACTGAGATATGAGGCACTTTAGGGACAGTCCAACAAGGATGAATTGCAGTGGTCCACCCGCGGTGACATAGCTCTCACTGATATATTGGTACAAATACCAAACCATTACTTGCACTTACTTGACCCCAAAAGCCTTAATGTGGTGCCGTGGTCGTTACTAGTAAATCGACATAAGTACAGATCCATCAGTAGCTCTTACTGGACCCCCAAAAGCCTTAATGCGGTGGGATGGTCGTTACCGGATTCCATGCATTTCCTTCTACCACGGGATCCATGGTAATTACCGTCAGCACCAATTCTTTCAAATTAGTCAAATCATATCTTTCTGAGCTATTTTTCGCTTGAACATGTCCGTGTTATGAAATTATACTATCTAAGATGAACTAATGAAATCTGCTCATTATATTCAGTACACTTTTTACGCATGTAAAATCTCATGGAAGCACTATAGATGGGGATTTTACATCGGTTGCGGAAAAGCATGGAGTCCGGTACTATTAAATCGATACAAGTACCGAGCCATAAGAGGGATGTCCAAGTAAAAAAGTAATGACTTATTGGCTACACGACTTATCAGAGCGCTGAAAAAAGTTGTCTCCAAATATCGTCCCCATGTTCACTCGCCAGGAGACGACTTTTTGACTGACCTATCGAACGGCATGTCTTCAACATGCTCAAAGAGAGTTGGTTTCCTTTTTGAAAGCGTGCTCATCAGGAGCGCTCCTTGCCCTGTATGCCTCGCTCCCAGGACAGCGCAAGACAGTGTGGAGCTCTACCAGCACGCGATATGACATAGGACGGGAACATGTACGTGCCCCCTGTACGTGCTGCACGCTTGGTTCATAGAGCTGCTGTCACGGCACCTCCATCTTCGGCAGAGTTGCCACCTTACTACACGCAGTATGAAGAGGATCACTCAGAAGACGAAGACGCTGCAGAATAAGCTTCGCCTTCTTCGCCTGCACAGGACCTGACACCAGAGAGAATGCCCAAGAGAAACAGACGCCCCAGCCGTAGGGTTGTTGAAGCTCATCAGGCCTCGATGGCTGCTATCACCGGCACTACCAGCACTGGCCAAGCTCCCAAAGCCAAGCGAAAACGGGTTTCCCGCCCAGTTACGAGCAAGGATAACGCAGAAGATGTCCCTTCAGATGGCCAAACACGCAAGACCAAGAAGCCAAAGAGCTCTGCTGCGTCTACGAAGCCGAAGCCGGTGAAGTTGTCCAAGGCGAAGCAAGCAAACACACAAAATGAAGCAGATGGTGTTCAAGAAGTGAAGAGCATGCACTGGACGATCCAGCTGACTGCTCTAGCAATTGAGGCTCGATTTAAAAAACCACGCATCTTGGCGAAGTTCGCGAAAAAAACTTCAGACACAAAAACAATTCGAGCGATATGGGAGGACACCATCAACGTTTTCCAGGAGCGTGCGCTGCAGGAACATGCTTGGGGGGATGACGGACCTCGCGGGGTTAGTGTAAAGCAGTTCAAGAACAAGCTGAACAACATTCGATCCGGTTACAAAAAGAAACGCACTCGTTTGCTGGGGACAGGAAACAGAGTCCAGGAAAACAGCAGTGATGAAGAAGGCGACAGTGAGTCGCCCCAGCGCAAGTATCCTGAAATGCCTGTTGATTTTTTCGTCAGCTATTCCGACGAAAGCGACAGCAGCAACAGTGATATCTCCGTTTCTCACGCAAAGTTGGTTTGTGACCCTCTGAAAGTACAGGCGAAGTATCGCGCTGAGCTAGGTGTCGAATTGGCAGCACTTTGGCCTCTTTTGTGTGATGCATTCTCGCGTCGCGTTGGAAGCACCGGAGAAGCAATCACGGAGTCAGGTCTAGCTGCAAACGTCACCGTAGCCAATACTCAGAGTGAAGGCGACGAAAACAAGGAGACGTCTGATTCCGAAGACTCCGACACATCAAGTGAAGCTCGCGCTAAAGCCAAGGAAAAAAGCAAAGGCGAAAAAACGCCGCGACAATCAGCAAAAATATTCGACGGGTGTGAAGCGTCCCATTGATACTGTCAGCGATACCCTTCGTTCTGGCTTCGAGACAATTGAGAGAGTACTTTCGGTTCGCCATCAACCAGCGCCGAATAACTCGGAAATGACCCAGCTTTTCAGCAAACTCACGGCGTCTATTGAGACTGCAAACGCCACACAGCAAGCCACAGCCGAAGCACTGCTTCAAAGCATTTCTGGTCTTCACCAAATTACCAAAATTCTCTACACGGAAATGACGAGCGGAGGCAATCGTTCAAGCACGGAATAGCTGAATTTACGAGGACAGGAGTTGGCGGAGCGTCATTTATGCTCGTTATCGCGTTCGTAGAAACGGTCAGCGTACATGTTTCTCTTCCTAATCGCCAAGTCAACTTCACCTTGCGTTCTGTCCCAGTTCTGATTGTACGCTGTCATCACTTGCCTGGAATCATTTTTGGCTTGCTTCCGAGCTTCAATATCTCTCACACCTTTGAACTGCTTGTCGCCAATATCGATCAATATGTTGTGCAGCACCGCAGCAGAACATATCATCCTAGCGTTCGTCTCGTGTTTACGTCGATCCGTGACCCCGTGAAGCACCTTAAAACGTGCTTTCAGCTTTCCAAATACGCGCTCAACAATGATTCGTGTCTGAGAGAGATGATAATTGAAACTGCAAACATTTCAAGCACATCAAATAAAAAATAGCACAAACAAATTGAAGATCATACCTCCGCTGTCTTTTCGTGAGGCGCTTGCCACCGCGCTCGTCAAAAGGGACCATCAGGAATGGCCACAACTTGAAGCCCGCATCACCCAGCCAATTCACTCCAGGAGGACAAATATCACGAGCCCGAGCACCAAGTACCACAGACTGATTCCACATTGACTGGTCGGAGTTACTGCCACTGAAAACGCCAATGTACCGGAACTTGTAGCGGAAATCAATCGCAGCCAAACAATTATAAGATGGCTTGCCGCTCTTGTCGTAAAAGCCCTGAAATAATTGAGGGAGCGATGATCACAATTTGAAGATAGCAAGAGAGTACCTAGCAATCTACCTGATGGTCGTTGGGTCTTCTAGTCCGTATTAGAGTGCCATCAAATACACATGCCACATCTGGAAAATCGGAATTTTTCCCAGCAAAGCCGTCCACCAACGCCCCCCACTCATCGTCTGCAGTAGGCGACGGAAAGTAAATCACGTCGTCCATCATACCGTATAAGAGTTTTTCTAGCCGCTTGATGTAGCGACTTGCAACTGGCCGAGACATCCCAAGCTGTGCTGCTGCACCTCCAATACCATCACCGTCTTGTCCACACCCGTTTCCGTAGTAGGTTAGTAAGACCGCAAGCCCCCAATCAAAAGAATAATGCAAGTTTTTTCCTGGTAGCCCGTACTTCCTGTAGTACAAAGGCCCCAAGAACGAACAAAGGGCATCAAATGATGCCGGCATGCAGCGGAGTGTTTTTCGGTAGGCCCAAAGGGACCTCTGCTCCTTCAGCTTCGCGTAAAAGTCCGATCTGACAACAATTTGTTCGCTAGGAGGAGCGCGAAGTGATCTCCAGTCCAGTGTTCCAAACGCTGCACCATGCGTGATGAACAGCAAGAAGATCGATACAATCACATCGTCATCGGCGTTTCCGTCTGCCTCCCCTGCACTCCCGTCGCCAGGAACACCCATCTCGACGTCTTCGCCACCAGCAAAACCGTGACGGTCATGTATCGCATATTGTGCCGCTCTAGCATTCACCGCAGCGTGTTGCACGTTGAGAAAGCCATCGTCGACATCCATGGGAGTCCCACCAGGCTCTGTGGGCTCCATTCGGTGGCCAGGAGGAGCGTGGGCGACGTAGTTCGAGGCGTTCTCCACCAGCTGCAACTTCTTGAAATCCAGCCCCCCTTGACATAAGCCGTCTCTCCTTCAGAAAAGTTGGTGACGGACCAACTTTTTTTCTTTGACTTATAAGCAAGGTGATCTGACAACGACTTTTCAAGACTGCCCTTTTCATGGAATAAGTTGGCGCAAATAAGTCATTACTTTTTTACTTGGACATCCTTTTAAGAAGCACTTACTGGGGCCTTATTGCAGTGGGATGGTCGTTCGAACAAGCAGGTACGGTGGAATATCTAACAGAGCACATAAAGTATATATTTCAAATGGAAGAGAGGATTGATGTTATCTTACAAATAAGCGTTTTTATTTTTATTTTGTCACGGGCGTTTTGAAAGTAGCAAATTACTAACATACTAGGATTTAATGCGATGGGTTGATCCTTACTCGTAAAACGAAACAGATGCCGACCCTGCAGCAGCATTAACCTGCCTCTTTTTATTTCAATGCCGGTGTATCGATACAAGTACCGAATACATTGATGACTGCAAAGACACCAGAAGTACGGGGGCTCTAATTTCAAACTTAGATTTACTAGATAATTCAGTCATCTACAAAATGTAGTGCTTTGACCCAAACTCACTGACTTTGATCGATTTTTTCAGTATGATAAATTGGTGCCGCCAATATTACCAACGCCAAAATACTACCGTATGTATTCGAGTCTCCTATTGCTCCAATAGGTGAAACATACGAAAGTATAAACAGCACGTGGATGCGAAGCAGGCGCAGCAGATGCGTTAGACGGAGGGCATCGTATTTTTCAAGCTTTAAAGCTATCTTATTTTTTATGACTTGGTCAACATTTTTAATGGGTTAGTGTCCTTTTAATTTGAAGTAAAGTACGTACCTCACAAATTAAGTGCTTAAAAAATAAAGAAAACTCAAAACTTTAGTTCCAGCTCATTCTATTTAAGCGCGGCGATGTGTTGAACTGCCATTTTTCTGTCTACATGTACATACATTTGTTGGGCTGTCCGTACTATTATTAATAGTCTTATATATTAGCCGCGGCATAATCTATGGGGGTGACAGTTAACACCGAGATTAGTGGTTGTCAGACTTGGATACAAGCCACGACTCCAAGCTTTACTTTTAGACAATGCCAGTTCTCCAACTCTGACCGGGCTTGCTGGATACAAGCTGGGTGACCCTTCCGCTCAGACGGCAAGATGCCAACCAAACGTCGGAAGAGGAGAGTGCTAAGTGCTTTCCGGCGGCTCTGGACAGCGGAGCTAGCTGACGAGGATGCCGAATCCAGTGCAGATGAAGCCCAAGACGAACTTGCAGCTCTGTATTCGTGCTGAAGGCAAAGAGGTACCTTACTCCGCGCCATCGAGCCCCGCGCCATCGAGCCCCGCGCCCCCCCCCCTCTAGAGTTGATTTATACCTCACCAGCATGCCGGATTCAGAATTCAAGCTTCGATTTAGGCTCTCTCGACCATACTTCCGAGCAGTGCTCAGCCTCATTTCAGACCACGCCGAGTTCAAGAGCATCCCTGGGAAGCAGCCAAAGATGTGTGTTGAGCTGCATCTACTGGGTCTCTTTAAGATCCTGGGGTCCACAGACGGCGAAGGACGTTCGGTTGACTTTCTCTCGGTTGGTGGACTTACAGCGGAAAGTCTGCTGGCTAAGCGGTGCATACGGGCGCTGAATAGCTTGGTCAGCAACGTGATCATGTGGCCAGACGAATTAGAGCGTCGGGAGATTTCTGCTGGAATCGAGAAGACTTCTAGATTACCACAACGTATTGGTTTATTTATGGTACTCTCTTTCCGCTGCTGACACGTCCTCAAGACCATGGAGAAGATTACTTTTCGCGCAAAGCTTCCTACGCGATTAATGGCCTGGTGATCTGTGACGACCAGTCTCGTATTCGCTATGGAAACGTGGGGTGGCCGGGCTCCTCTCATGACAACCGTGTTTGGAGAAACTGCAAGGTAGCGCTAAAACAAAGATCAATATTTTGGTAACGATCAATATCTACTCGGTGATTCTGCGTAGCAGACGTCAAATGTGTTGGTTCCCGCTTTCAAAACATCAGCTGGTGGTCAACTCAGTGTGAAGAAGATCCACTTCAGCAAGTGTCTGGCCCAAGTCCGCATCCGTGTCGAACATTGCATTGGAATGCTCAAGCGCCGGTTCCCTCTGCTAAGCAAAATCCGATCTTCCCTGCGAACCAAAGCAGAAATTAAAGCCACAATCGAGTTGATTCGGCCGTGTAAGATTCTTCATAATATGGCTATTGCGGATCCCGTCCCTGATGACTGGATTGAGCCTGAACCTGGAGTTGACTTTGACGGTGATGACGAAGATAAATATTTGGCTCCCAGTGGCGAAATAGCAGAAGACAGGCGTGACGTTTTGAGCGGATTAGCATTTGACATAGCATTTTAGCTCTCATCTTCGTAATGGCCAGCGAATTTGAGTTACGCCGAGGTAGGTAGCAGACGGTCAACTTCAACAACAGAGACTCCAGCGTCCAGCAGCTTCTTGCGTGCAAGCAGAAGCTGCACAGCTGCTTCTCGCTGCGCAACTTCAAGTTGCCCCCGTTTAGGGCTAACTCAACATCGGTTGAGCACTCTCACGCTTGTTTCTGTCTTTTTTGAGCTGGACCTCACGTTGCTTGAGTTTAAACTCGTTCTCGTGAAGCTGGAGCATACGGCTGGTCTTGTCCGCTCTCAGTTTGCACGTCTTGCTCTGTTGGGCCAGCATCTTCTCCACCGGATCTGCCTTTAGTCGCTTTAAATTCGCTTCGTCGTCCAAGGCCAGCGGGCGCTTCTCTGTTCGTTGAACAATCGCACTTCCTATATCAGAAGCGTCCGCACTGTCGCCGATGTCGTCCGACGTAACACGAGGGCGGGCGGAGGGTCGAGCTTCGAACACAGCAGTAAGTTGGTAGTAGTAGGGGCATCGCTTCAGAATCTCGCCGCTAAGGGTTGATTCACTCGTGATTCCGGCACCAGCTTGCGCCTGAAAGTCAAGTGCCTCCTGAAATTGCTTCTCAATCGTGTTTATTTTCTCACGAACGTCTGCGGTGGCGCGATTCGTTATCCCAACGGCGTTCAGCTCGGGTACGATTTATTTTAGCAGAGCTTCTTTGGTGTTGCCGCTGTTGCGATCACTGCCCCGCCACTTGTTGTAGCTTGTCTCAGTCGACAGCCATTCCAACACGACCTGCAGCGAAGACTTGCCGTCGTTCACTCCATCGCGATCCCGGAAGATGGGCTTCCTCTTGACGCGCGCTGCCTTCCCGCTCATTAAGATCTTCGTGCGCTTTTAAATATGAGCCTCTTGGATTCCAAGCCATCTCTTGGAAGAAAAAGCTTAGATGAAATCGCTTGGAATTTAAGACATTTTTGTCCAATGAGATTGTCAATCCATCCTTGGAAATACGACTTGTATCCAACTCTGACAACCACTATTACGGTATTTAGTGTGGGTGGATCATTATTATGGGTGCGTTAAATAGTATAGCTCACACTAGTTCTGCATTTTGACCTTCGTCGGCAAACCCACATTAATAATAAACCCACAGTAAATGTGTCTTCAACTAGGCTGTAGAGCTTCAACCGCGCCGACTTGCGAACTCAAATTGGTGCTGGATCATCCAGTGGATGTGGCCAAGCTAGAATGCACTCTGAGAAAGAAAAATATTAGAGCGTGGCAGCACAACTGGGAAAGCTCTAACGAGCGTTAGAAAATGGTGAATTGGATGAAAAGGCTACTTTCAACATGGACGAAGTACATTTTGGCATCACTATGGACAAGATCGTACTTTAGTAGTCCTATTCCTTACCTATTATAATAGAAAGTGCATTATCTCTCTCAAGGCAAGTCAATAACAGATTTGCGCTATTACCCGGTATGTCAAACCTTGGTGGTGGACCACACTATAAAATAGAGTTTACCGTGTTATACCAGAACAGGCCAGCCAAACCAGTCCCTTAATTTACAAGGAAATGTCTATGTTCACCAGTACTATTGCAACGAAAAAGGACAGGGTTTGGCTATCGGGATATCGGGGTAAGGGTATCTCATTTTGAGATTTTAGAGATTTTGCTGGCCACTCAGTTTCAAAATCCTCCCTCATCACACTTCCAGCACCAGCACTCACCAGCAAGCGATGCCGTCACGGAAGACGAAGAAGCGGGTCCATGTCAGCGGCAGCGACCACAACAGCGGAGATGATGCAGATGATGCCGAGGATTTCGAGGATTTCGAAGGCGTCAGCGTCTCTTCCCCCCGTTTAGCGGGGAGTTCAAGTCCTGGGACGCATTCCACGAGGAGCTAAAGAGGTCATGCTTACAATTTCTGTTACTGTGTGAGATAAAAGCTAATATTTATTTTAATTGATAGGTACCAGGAAGAGACGCATCAACTGTACAAGATCCGCTCTACCAACTTCGTGGTCGATCGCAACAAACAGCGTCGAGCTGTAGCCTTGCGCCGTGGGACTTCTCCCGTTATTTTGACGAGTCGCTAGATTTCTATACAAAAACGCTTATCTGCACGCACGGGTGGACATTCAAGCCCAGGGGGAAAGGAGCAAGAACCAACCACAACATACGTTCTATCGACTGCCCTGCAAAGCTAAATGCCTTTCTTATCAAGGAAGGAAACGAGAATTACAAAGTTCAGGTCACCAAGCACGTGGACACCCACAACCACGACGTCGGTCAAGACGTCTACTATACCTACGCAGAAGCCCGAAAAAATACTTCGCCAGGCACGCAACGTGTCGTCAGGACGATAATGCAAGGTAATGAGTCTCTATATCCTAGTTAGCTATAATCGTATTTAACCGTTTTTGGATATACGTAGGGGGTTCTAAGAAGAAGAAAGTACTGCGCTATCGCAAGGAGGTCTCGGGAAAGGTTGTTCTACCCAAGGAAGTTCGATAATCTTATTGCTAAAATTCGTAAGGAGACCTACACTTCTGGGGACGATAACGTGCGCGTGGCTCAAGAGCTTAAAGACTTTAGCGAGGGTCGTGACAACGCTGTCAACGTCTTTCGTGATTAATCTACGGGGCTTACAGCGTGCATTACATTCGAGACAGCCCACATGCGACGGATGGTGCGTAAGTTTCCGGAGGCTGTCTGCGTCGATGCGACCTACGGAACCAACATCAATCGGTACGTCGTATGATTTGGTGTTGTATTTACCAATACATTGGTATCGTAGAAGTAATTGCGAATGATTACCAACTAATACTAATACACCTTCTGATCGTTCTTTAGATATCGGTTGTTCAGTTTCATGATTACGGACAAGTTCAGGTGTGGAGCTTTTGCGCAGCATTCTCTAGTGGACGGAGAGAGCAGGTTGAACATGGAGTGCGCAGTAAGAGCTTTCAAGCAGAACAACGCAGAGTGGAAGAATGTGAAGGTTATCGTGATTGACAAGGATTTCACGGAGCTGGCGCTGCTGCGCGATGAATTTCCTTGTGCGACTATCATCCTCTGCCACTTTCACGTTATTGACTATCTCCAGCGAGAAGTGAGCAAGAAAGACTACGGGTTCTCAAGTTTTGAGAGGATGCACGTGAAGGATACCCTGACGTTGATGGTTCGAGCGGAGAATGAGAGTCTTTTCGATGATTACCTGTCGGCACTGAGGAAACTGTGTGCGAGAAAACCCACGTTTCTGGATTGTTTTGAGGAGAATTGGTTAAACGGCAAGGATCTGTGGTGTACGTTTAAGCGCGAAAACATTCCGCATCTCGACAACAACACAAACAATCGTCTCGAAGCCTGTTGGGGTGCTGCAAGGGCTTGTTACATCGTCATATGCCTATGGATGAGTGTATCGATCATCTTCTATTTCTACAACAGTCTGCAGAAGACGTGTATAATGCTAAGATCAAGCGCGTCAGTTTTCGATACAATCAAAATTACGATGACGAGATGACCGCCATGGCAAAGTGGGCTACTCATTACGCATGTAATTTGGTCGAGGGTCAGTATCACGTTAGCGGAGGAGTGGCGTACGTTGTTTCAAGTGAGGGAAATACCTTTACGCTCTCTAGTTCTACAGCCTCGGGTGCGAAATATGCAGTCAGCTTGTATGAGAGCTCCTGCAGTTGATCCTTTTACCAGACCGTGTTACTTCCTTGCCGTCAACTCCTGTATTTGCGGCGGCAACATTCAGAATTTCAATCTATTATTCCGTGTGAGGCGATTCCGCTGCGATGGTTGCTTGCAGATGACGGAGAAGTCTCAAGTGTTCCTGATACGTCACAGAAGCTCTACGTCGAAGATGTTGAAGCTCCTTCAAGTCGTGTCCTTGGTCATAATCAGAAGTATCGCTCGGGGTTTGCAGTGTGCCAGAGGATAGCCGAAGTTATAGCAGCCAACGGGTCACGAAGCTTTCACGTTTGGCTTAACCATTTGGAAGACCTGGAGAAGATCGCCCGTCACAATGATATGCCGCCATCCTACACGGACGCAAGTATTTGTGGAGAACTCGCAAGTTCGGAGGACATTGGTATAACATTGTCACCAATTCGTGTGATACTGGTGATGATATTGGTGATGGTGTCACCAATTCGGCCAGTGTTGGTGAAAATACAACCAATGCTGGACGTGTTCTCGCGTCCGATTCGCCGATGGAGATAAAACTTGAAAAGGAAGGACGGTCCACCCAGTCTTCAACTGCGAGAACTAGACGGAGACTAAACTTTTACGTTTCAGACAGAGACTCGAGCGATAAAATAGTCAACATTGTGTTGAACACGGCCAGTAAACCTGCAGGAAGACCACCTAAAAAAGCTTGGAAAGAAGGATAAGCGTCGAAAAACGTTTCAAGACACCAAGGCGCTTATTCAGCAGATAAACACTTACGGAGACATAACATTGTCCACCTTGCGTGAATATGTGGACCAAAAGAAACTGTCGCTGAAGCAAATAGACCCCGTGTTCAATGCAATCTGCCCCAGGCATGATGATGCCGTCTTCAAACGACCGAAAGGACATGTGGTTACTCCGGGAACAGTAAAACGTGTGGAGACGAATATTAAATACGTACTTCCAGAGCAGCTCGTCTTGAAAGCTCAAACAGCCGGCAGGAACGCCATCTCAAGAGGGCAGAGCGAGTATGGCCGGACACCACCACACGAGGACATAACCGTTTCAATTTTTTGATGTGGGATCATGTTCTCTCGTCGACATCGACACTATGCACGAATGGCATTGTCTGAAGAAAAAAATATCTGTCGTTCGTAAGCTGCTGAAGTGGATCGAAACAAAGCCTCAAACAGAGACCCGCTGCGAAATATTGAAGCGTGTGCAAATGATTAATATGTACACGTCGTTGAAATCTAAGAGCGGGGAAACACTTGTTCAGTCTGACGACTTGACGAGATTTGCAGGTGAAATGTGGCTTAGTGACGGGTGCGTATTTGTGGCGGCACTGAAGGTAGCGGAACCATGGAGTCGTACCCAACATAGTGGTAGAATCACCCAAGTGCACGTCGTTGATCCAGTTTTTCTTGGGTTTCAAGACGCTGCAGACCGTGCAAGACTGTTGGATACCAGGGAACAGTTGCTGAGTACAGTCAGCCAAAATCGCGTCATCCTGATCCCAGTCTACATCGTCGTTGATATCAGCCATTGGTGCGGAGCGATCGTCGACTTTGGCTGTAAGACAATCTGGATCTACGATCCTAAACACAACGTGGAATATTTGAACACACGGACTACAATCATGACCAAGAAGATTGTGCTAGTGATCGACCAAGCCACAAGGAGCGGATGTGCAAGGAGCTGCTACGGTCTCGAGTACAGCAAATCGAGCTACTGGGGGAGAAGCTCGAGCGACTTTCCAAGTTTTCGCTAAAGCTAATGGATCTCCATGAGGAGATTGCTGTTATACTCGCACGCGAAAAGCAAGATACAATGAGCCTAGCTGCTGCTACCGGGGCTTCTGCTCCCGACGTCGGATACGTTGTATCGTATGCTATGGCGCTCGAGAAGTGCTGCAGTATTTTGCTGGATCCGGCTTTGTAAACGAATTACAAAAGCGATAAAGGAGGCATAAGAAGGTTTACGTAACAAAGGTTAAGACGACAAACGAATGCATATTATATTTAAACGCTGAAAACAGTTCCTGACCGGTCGCTTCTATCGCTTTCGCTCGCTTATTTGACTTCGTAGTCACCTCTGGTTGCATTAAAATTATCCACATGATACGCAGTCGCATGATGGCGACATCGTCTTGTGTAACGGTTGCGTTAGCAATAACGGTGCTATCCTTGAGTACTGCATATGTTTGGGCGATACACAGCACCCCGCATGAAGATCCATCTGGCTGTGTTGGCGCATTGAGCCACACGCCATTTTCGACGACAGGAAAATCAGTAGCTTGCATGGTCTCATGATGCCAGTTCCGTAAAAATTTAGCCATTGTGTCCTGGAAAGTGGCTTCCATTGTTGCTAGAAATTCCGTCCTACACAAGGGTTCGTAATAGTACGGTGTGATGCTGGGCGTTTCCTGCTGATAGGCCAGTCTAACAATGATGACGCCCCAGTGATTTCCGTTTAGGTGAGCTGGCAACACCACATAATGGAATGACGATATTCGTGTCTTCTAAGGGCTTGGGCATCCCATCGTCGGAGCGAGCGAACTCAGCGCGTAGCAGTCGCCAAGCGCACCGCAGATGCAGCGAATAGTAAAGTAAATCACGAGGTCGTTTAACATTCGAGTCCGGGCCAGGCTTCCCACCATATTGTCCACCCTGACAGATATTTTTTAGCCTCGTAAGAGCGAAGGGCCTCTTGAAAAGTCTCCCAACGGTCAAACGTCCTCACTGGAAGTGGTGGCTTGACGTTTTCGACTGCCCGATGTGCCTTCATCATCTTTTCACGACTGTCGTACGTTTTTATCCGGCGTCGCACAATTTTGCTCTTCGCCGACGCCGTGAAATGAGCCCCAATTGATCCCAGGCTCGTTGTGCCGGGTTTTGGTCGCTTTGGTGAGGAAGCTTCGCTTTTGTTCGTCTCAGAGGCACCATGGCAGGATTTGCGGCTGTAGGGTACGGA